AGAAGAAGAAGAAGAAGAAGAAGAAGAAGAAGAAGAAGAAGAAGAAGAAGAAGGAATATTTTTTTTGTTTTACTGATTTTATGAAAAATGATACATCATCCCACCAAACCAATTTGGTGAGAGATGTGATGATAACATTTTAAGGGATATTGGACTGGGCCTATCTCAACTTTCATGTATGAAAAATGCTCGACAAAACAACTTAATCTTCTTTATATAATACCAACTGACAGGATATCACACCCAATACTGACAACCAAACAATGTCTTAATGTAACCCATTCTAACTTTATTTCTATTTTATTCACTAAATAAATGCCCATTAAGTGAGCCCGACACGTGAGCCCAACTTTTAAACAAACAAAAGAAGCCCAATCCTATCCCGGGCCATGAGAAGGCCTCTAAATTTTCCAATTTCTTTCTCTTAAAAACAATCAAATAAGCTATAAATTTCAACATTATACGCCCTCTCACGCGCCGGAGAGCCACGGTTTCTGGTTCTTACTTCTTCGCGACGCTCAACCTCCGCCGTGTGTTGTTGCTGGATTTTCGCCGGCCATCTCCTCGCTCTATTCTCTCTCTATATTTGTAGTATATCTTTCGCTTTTCCTTTTCCCCTCATTTTTTTTTTCTTTTTCCTCCTTGTTTTCTGTTTGGGATCGGCGTCGGCCTTGACCTGTCTACCCTTGCCGCCGACCGCCGTGTGCCCGTCAGGACACCGTGAGTCTCGACTGAGCTACGGCAATCCCAAATTCGAGTTTTTCTTATTTGATTACGCTCTGTAAATATAAATTGGCTAGGGTTTGTACCTGCGCTTCTAAGTTGTTTGAACGTCTAAGTTGTTTTAGGTTCTAAGTTGTTTGAACGACTATGCTTCTACCCCTTAATCTACACTTGAAGACAATGTGTTTGATTAAATGTCTAAATGAGTTTCCAACCATGATTTCTGTGTTGTTTGTTGTTTTTGGTTTCACTGACATTAAATCATCTCCAGGTCGAAGATAAGCGGGGAATATCATGGCGATCGGTTCTTGCTTCTTAGGATTAAAGCTCCAGGCTTGCGGGATCCTTGGGACCGGTCTAAATCGCTCGAGTATATCTCACATGTCATCGACAAGTGAGCAATACAAATTGTTCATGTGAACTTTCTTGGAGCATTGTTCTCTTCCTGATTTTATTTGTACACTCTGCGTGCAAGAAGAAATACTTATGTTGAAAAATTATTTTAGATGTGTCAGTGAAGCCATTGGTGATTCAGGCTAGAGCCAATCAGAGGACCGAGAGTCCTAAGATTCGCGACCGAAGATTAAGAGAAAAGGTGAACAAAAAGGAAGTGTCTTTATAAGTAGATGTTATTCAGCTACATTTTGTTATGTATATGTTTATTTACTATAAATTTGAATGGGTAATAAAGGGTCTGAGTTGTGTACTTGTGTATGTGATTTGAGATATTGATATCGTTGTAATTTATTGTGACCAGTTTAACGGGACAGCCACAAGGCCGAGGCTTTCGGTGTTTTGCTCAAAAAAGCAGTTGTATGCTATGTTAGTAGATGACCAAAAGAAAAAGTGCTTGTTCTATGGAAGCACTCTTCAGAAATCCATGCAAAATGATCAACTTTGCTCTACTGCTGTGAGTTTTTCCATTCAGTTTTTATTATTTTACGTACGATTATAATCCAAACCAAGATTTTTAGATGTTTCCCCTCCTAACCAACATAATTGCACACTAAAAGAAAGTTCCATTTCTTTTTTCTTTTTTTTTTTTGGTTCTTTTAAATTGTAGGAGGCGGCAAAACGAGTTGGGGAAGAGCTTATCAAGATGTGTGTGGATCTCAACATAAACGAGATCTCATCTTATGATCGAAATGGCTTGGCTTACGGTGAACGAATGCAAGCCTTTGAAATTGCTATTTACAGCCATGGTTTCTTGCCTCGGTAGAATCTACTCTAGTGTTTGTAAATGTGACCATTTTGATACTATATTTTAGACTCTGCAACGAATGTGTATTATTAAAAATGACAGTGTAATACATTATCATGGATCTCCAACACCCTGTTCTTTTACTAATCCGTATTGCACTCAACTTGAATTTGTTGTTTCATGTGAATGAAGTGTGTTCTTTTTAGATTGTGTGGCGTAATACATCTGATTGCACAGGCATCAGCCTTCATAGGCGAAATGTAACTGATTTGCCCTTCATAGGCCGAGCACTCACATCACCCATAACAAGCAACATGTAAATGTTTTCCCCTACGGAGGTTGAGCACTCACATCACCCATCGCAGGAGACATGTAAACATCACATACATAAAACATAATATCTCGCTTTATAAATACAAGGCATATTATAGAAACACCCCACCTCGAATGCAAGTGATGATGAATGAATGCTCGTGATTCTTCTGAGGGCTTGACTCCTCTTAATCTACAAATTAAGCATTATTTTATATTATTACTTAGAAAACTATGAAGATATAAATTTTGAATTAGTTTATTATTCAAAAAATTTTAATCATATTTAATAAACTCTTCTAGGCTCGTTTGGAGTTCTTGGATAAAGATCTAGGCTCAAAAAATTTAACTTTTTACTGGTCCGAACCAGCCGCTCACGCAATGTCAGACCCGGTTCGGCTTGCTGGACCGCACGGGTTGACCTGGTAATATGACTGCTCGGCACTGGCCTGGCCTGCTGGGGCATTGGACTGGTCTGTTGAAACCTAGGTCTGCCTGTTAGGGCTCGGAACTGGGTTGCTGAGGTGTTGTTGGTCACTGGCACGAGTGTTGCGGGGACTGGCACATGGGTGCTGTGACACGGGGCGCACAGACGCTGCACGACGGCACGCGGGCGCTAGGACATGGCATGGGTCGTCTGCGAGCGCTGGGCCGCGACAGTATGTCTACGGGCGCTGGGGTGCAACGTGCGACACGTGACTGAGCGACACGGGTCTATGCAGTACACTTGGCGCGAGAAATCACTAAGTTGCGGCCAGCATGCTACACGGCTGGGCCCGACCAGGCCTATCACCGGCGACTTTCACCGGCCAAACTCAACTTTTTTTGTCCAATCTTAGGTACTTAAAAAGGCTAGATTTTTCGATTTTAACCAAGCAACATGCCAAAAAATTCACTAGAACAATTCAATTACAATGCTTTTCAAACAAATCCAGAATATTCCTAACACGTCTTGTGAATGAAGAAAAATATATCACGAGTTCAAATGAGATAATCTATATCAATTCAAACTATCAAAATAAATAAATAAATAAATAACACAATAATCCCAGATTCCCAAGAGTATGATAAGAGAATAATAATAAAGAGCACAAGCTCAGAATATCTTTGTAGTCAAAAACACTTCGCTACATATGCCAGTTATTGAGGGTGGTTTTATTTTTGAAACATGCTAGAAGTTGATGTATGAGAACATCTCCAATGAACCGAGTGAATTTCAGTACTCCCAATGATAAATGTCGAAACACAACAGTCTATAGAATGCATTCTCTCCAAATGATAAATGTCGAAACACAACCTTCTATAGAAAGCATTCTCTCCACGTGTACTGAATGGGCTAAATCACTCTCAAATGGAACATTGTCCATTTTTTGTTGAATTACATGGAGAAAGAAAATTAAAAAATTATGTCCCCAATGGTTAGTGTGAATTGTAGGGTCATTTCAGTATTAATGCTATGCACCCAAGAACCAAGAAAATTCTTCAGCTTCTGAGATTGAGACAGGTATTCAATGCAACTGTTCTTGAGTATCCTGTTTGATCTTAATTGTCTTCATCCAATCAGTAAGAGTTAATGAGTGCCTGAAATGATTTATTTTTTTGTATCACTTGTCATTCCATGGTTTATTCTTCCTCTTATGTCGACACATGCAAATGCTGTCAGATTCCAGAATTACCTTTTGGTTGGTGCGTGTTACTTTCTAAGTGGAGCTTATTCCATTTGGCATCATGTACATGCTGTTTTAAATTCAATTTTGTTGGTCTGTACCTTTTTCTAACTTATAATCTGAATACTGTAGTTTGAGGCAGATAAAAATTATTTGAACTTGCAGTTACAGTTTACAAAAACAGCAGAATATGTCCTCTGATATATCGTTTGTGCAATGAGATTACGCCTTGGTGCTTCTTTTGAGTTTCTTCGACTCCTTCTGCTCTAGGAAGAAAAAATCCATACTAAAGTCTTGTGTTATATTAACTGTGTTTCTATTTGCCACTTGTACAGATCTTCAATGGCGTCTTCTTGAAAGTAAACAAGGCCACCGTGAACATGCTGCACATGGTTGAGCCTTACGTTACTTACGAGTATGATAACCACCACAGATGCAAGTAGTTTTAGTTTCATTTAATAAACAATCTGAAAATGGTCAACTCCATGAACTTTCAGATACCCAAACCTTAAGAGCGTGAAGGAGTTGATTTACAAGCGTGGATATGGAAAAGTGAACAAGCAGAGAATTGCTTTGACTGATAATTCCATCATCGAGCAGGTTATATATGTGTTTTCATTCAAGATAAATTAGAAAATTTTCTCCTTTTATATGTCTTTTCTCATTTCTGTTTTGTTACTGCCATTTTTACATTTAGACGTTGGGCAAGCATGGAATAATCTGCATGGAGGATTTGATTCATGAGATCATGACTGTGGGGCCCCACTTCAAGGAGGCGAACAACTTCTTGTGGCCATTCCAACTGAAGGCGCCGTTGGGTGGATTGAAGAAGAGAAACCATTATGTCGAGGGTGGTGATGCTGATAATCGTGAGGACTACATTAACGAGCTCATCAGGAGGATGAACTAAGTTTTTTGTGACCATCGATTTTTGCCTAATCTATGTTGTTGGATTTTAAGATTTTTGGGAATTGATTCAGTTAGAAAAGTAAGTTTTACTTCGTGAATTTTTGTAGCTCTGCTATTTCGAGACATGGCCTCAAGACTTCGATCCACTATGTTTTTGTGGGATATTTATGGAGATTTCTTTTTTTGGAAGCCTTTGTTTGTTTTCATCATCTTCTGCTTGTGTTTGATTTTGAATGCTGTGCAGTGGACGATTCTATTATCTGATTAAGCAAAATGTGTTTAGTGGACAAATGAAATTGTTCATTTATCTACGCAAAGAATATTTGATTAAACAAAAAACGTGTAGTGGATGATGATTCTAATATTTTGATTAAGCATATTGTGTGTAAATGGCAAATAAAAGTGATGTTCAAAGAGTTAGAGTTGAGATTCAATATCTATACTTATATAAAGAGCCATCTTATTTACTAAAATTAGTAGGAAGAAAAGTTAAAGGTAATTAATGCATTTGTTGACACCCGGATCGGTCGGGTCAGGACTAAATGGGTCGGCCCCATGAGCTGTGTAGGACCGAACTCCTGAAAAGCGCCGAGCCGATCAGGAGCGCAGGAGCCGACCTGAGTCGAGGAATTATATGCAGTACGGGTTGAAGAAAATGCTTCCCGAGCCCGGCACCCGGACTCGTGGGGTGCCGGGCCGATCTCACCCCGGTACCGAACTGGAGAAAGGCTCACCCGGGCCGCGCGGACCTTCAGAGCGAAGGTGCCGCTCTGAATAAGTTAGAGCCGCCCTGCCAAAGGATGGCGCCGATCCGGTCGCTATTAAAATATTCGCCACTTGGGAGGTCATCATTCGTTGATGGGACGGCCTGTCACAGTCATTCAATCAGCATTAAATGCTACCCATGCTTGCATTAAATGCCTAGCAAGCAATGATTGGAGAAACCTCAAATCGCATTAATGAACTGTCAGGGAGGCGCCGAACTGCTCTGCAAACCTACTGTACGACAAGACCGGTGAACAGTACCCCATTTAAGAGTACTATAAATAGCAGCTCACCTCATTTATTTTGGGGTTGTTAAATGCTCAACTAACTTAAGCTTTCTTCTACTTTCTCTCTCTAAAAATTGTAAAGTCTTTTGAAAGAATTGTAAGTATATCATAAGTGCCGACCTCGTACGAGAGGCCGACCTCGTGATCATTTAATAAAATCGTAATTAAACTATATCTTCCTTTTATTTCCAGTCCTGCATTTTCAATATTTTCAATCTTAACCGTTGACCGAAAACGCTCGTCAACAACATTCTATTTCCATCAATTAATTTTTATTTAATTGTTTTTTCCCCTAAAATCCGTACAACAAAAAAAATGTACGTAAAACAAAAAAAAAGGCTGATCTGATTGGTCAAGATAAAATCTTGATTTTATCTCAGCCAAAAATATAGATTTCAAGTCTAAATTGAAGAGTTTGGTTGTCTATATAGAATATAGATTGTGATTTACGTAAATCAATACATATCATGTTTAAAGTTTGTGTATATTGAAAATTCCCCTTATCTTTGTACAAAAAGTTTTATCTAACTGTATGTAAAATTTGATCTGATTTGTTCCTCTAGCAATTTCCAAATATCAAGATTTTTTTCTTAACAATCTTAACAGATATTTATCTACTCTACTAATTATAAGTTATATTATCTTATTGTACAATTTTCCTACATATTATAAAACTTTTATTTAATATTGTATCTTATAATATAATATTCCCCAAATAAATATATCTCCTGCCTTGCACGGGTCAAGTACTATATATATCCCGTATATTTTTCTTTATTCATATATATAATTATAAGTCTGGATAAATAGCCTTAAAATTGTGCACCCCGTGCATTGCGCACGGGCTCTGCACTAGTTGTTATTTAGGACTGATACTCAGATAAGATAATATTAAACGCCGTATAATGTTTGTTTCACTTGATCAGTGTACTAAAAATTGGCCGAGACGTCTGGGCGCCTTCAATTTATATTGGTCTTGAAAAATTAGCCAGGCGGTACGGCGACACCTAGGCAGTCCTAGGCGGACTCCACGGACGTGGCAGCTAGGCTACACTAAGCAAGTCTCGACAAAAATATTCTAGTTTTTTTTTTCTAATACTAAATCTGTTAATATATTAATTTATTGATTGGATTTAGAGGTGTGGATTTATTTTAAGTTGGGATAGTTTCATTTTTTTAGGTAGTGAAGATAAATAAATACAAAAAATAGTTTAGACCACGCCTGGTCGCTCTAGGTGTTAAGTGTTGGTCGGGCGCTTAACGGCGCGCAACGAGGATTTTTTTTTTTTTTTT